TTCACCATGTTGACCAGGATGGTCTCGATCTCTTGACCTCGTGATCCACCTGCCTCGGCCTCCCAAAGTGCTGGGATTACAGGCTTGAGCCACCGCGCCCGGCCTAATTTTTGTATTTTTAATAGAGACGGAGCTTCACCATGTTGGCCAGGATGGTCTCAATCTCTTGACCTCGTGATCCACCCGCCTCAGCCTCCCAAAGTACTAGGAATATAGGCATGAGCCATCGTGCCCAGTTTTTTGTTTTGTTTTTGTTTCTTGAGACAGAGTTTCACTTTGTTCCTCAGGCTACAGTTCACGGATGGGATCTCGGCTCATTGTGACCTCCACCCTCTGGGTTCAAGTGATTCTCCTGCCGCAGCTTCCGGAGTAGCTGGGACTTCAGGCGCATGTAACCACACCTGCCTAATTTTTTGTATTTTTAGTAGAGACGGGTTTCAAGTGATCCAGTGCCTTGGCCTCCCAAAGTACTGGGATTATAGGTGTAAGCCACCGCACCTAGCCTCCTTTCTGTTTTGAGACAGGGTCTCTCTATGTTGCCAAGGCTGGTCTTGAACTCCTAGGCTCAAGTGATCCCACCAGACAGATCAAAACGAGCAACTAAAATTCTTTGAGTATAATGTCTGTTCTGCTCCCTCTCGTACTGGGCACTCTTACTATGAACAGAGTCCATCTTCAAGGTCTCTGTTGTGCTTGAACAGGGGAAGGTCCAGCATAAGTTAAAATGTCACAAAGCTCTTCTATGAAGATGCAGCTGTTTTTTTCTTGACTAAGCATTTCCTTGGTTGTGGCAAGCTTTCGATAAATAGCCAGAGTTCTGAGAATGATCATCAGTTTCTGCCTATTTATTTATTTATTTTAATTTTTTTTAGAGATGGAGTTTCACTGTGTTAGCCAGGTTGGTCTCGATCTCCTGACCTTATGATTCTCCCGCCCGGCCTCCCAAAGTGCTGGGATTACAGGAGTGAGCTACCGTGCCTGGCCTATTTATTTATTTATTTATTTGAGACAGAGTCTTGCTCTGTCACACAGGCTAGAGTGCAGTGGTGTGATCTCAGCTCAGTGCA